CTTGATCAGCAACAAAATGAGGATAACCNGCGCCCCACCACAACAAATGATGGCTTCTTCAGGTGTCTTGTTGGATGTCTTTCATGTGGTACGTATCTTTAACTGTGTGGGCCACCCTTCCTCTCCAACTTTGGCACATGCTCAGTCAATTGTCAAAATCTTGTTGAGGCTCGCAGATGGACCGCCTATCTCGCACGCTGTCCTCGCGGCATCGCTATTTCAGAGCCGCAAACGCTCTGCTTAGCCCCGTCTTCTTCCAGACAGATCCACTGACGGCTTCAAAATATCAAGAGTGGTTGCAGAACAGTCAAGAGATGGACAACGAAAGCACCCTGCGATTTGCTTGTCAGGTCAGCAACTGTTGCCACTCCTTGCCTGAAGACGCATGCTGTGCCGTCGTTCGAGCCAATCTCATCAATTATTTTTGCATGGTCCCTCACAGACTGGGAGCAGCTCAGGAGCCGTTGTGCGCAAGCTGCGAGGGCCTGTCGATCTGTCGAACCGCTTACTGGGCTGGGCAGAATGGGTTAATGCCTGTCCTGAAGACAAGAATCAGAGCTTGGTTGAGCCGTGGAGTGAAAGTGGTGGCTTGAACAAGTGCGTCGAGGATATTATTGATGCTCACGTCAAGACGGGTTGCCTATCTGACCCAGATGTACTGTTGGAAAAGTTGTACCGGAAGCTGCCTGAGACGGCTTCCAAGCGCCCTCGCTTCAGGTGCGCGCGAGGCTCAAGTGGCAACGAAAGTCTTCATCAACGCCTGGCCGCAGCCATTCCCATTTTTTTTCTCTGACATCTTGGCGTGAACCACGTTGTCAGACAAAATCTGCAACCCCGCTCTTTGCGGCCCGCGTTTTGGCGGCGCCCTCGCTCCCACCGTGTCCGCTCACTTGCTCGCTTGCTTGCCCCGCGGACATGGCCACTGAGTCCGGCGGCGAGGATTCTTGGACCCGGGTCCGCGGTGCTAAACGCCCGAGTGCCGAATCACCTCCAAGCAACACCACCACCTCGCCTTCCCAAACTCATCGTTCTGCAAAACACACAAAACATGGCAGCGCTCGCCACGACCGTAACCATGTTTTCCCTGACCCCATGACCACCCCGCTTCGCCCTCACGCCCGCCACTCTGTCCCTACCGCCCGTGCCTCGTCTCATGTGCCCTCGACGTCCCCCGCTGCCGGTGCGACCGAGTCTTCGGCACGTGCCGTCGTGCCCGCGGCCGAGCCAGTGACCAGGACGTCAAACGGCGGCGGGGAGCAACATCCCATCCTCGGAAACACTTCCAATGCTTCTCCCCGCACCCCTCGCACGCCATCCAGCCCTCGCTCCTTTGCTCAAGTTGCTGCGGCAATGCCTGCCGC